TAATTATTTATTTATAGAATTTTTCTTCACATTGTTTAACATGCATGTCATATCAGCATAGACTTCCTAATGTCTTTTTCTATTCAAGCATGTTCAAATCTGAATGTTACTGGGTGTGCTGGTATGTACAGTAACTCCTGTCAAAACTCTCCTCCTCAGCTTTTTGTCTTCACTGACGGAGAGGTGTGCAAYACCAAAGAAGTGATCAATCTGGTGAAGAAGAATTCAGGTTCCCACAGGTGAAACCACAGAGTCCTGCTCACAGTGTGTCCCATGTTGTAGTGCTGTCTGTAAAACTCTTAACACTGTGTTGTAGGTGTTTCTCTTTTGGCATCGGGGAAGGGGCCAGCTCTGCTCTTATCAATGGGTTGGCCAAGGAAGGAGGAGGTCATGCTCAGTTCATCACAGGAAGTGACAAGATGCAACCCAAAGTAAGATAATTTTGATCATCTAAAAAAGAACTAATAATATCAAATCATGGATCATCTTATCAAAAGGTAAATACTTATTTTTCTTTGCCAGGTGATGCAGTCGTTGAGATTTGCTCTGCATCCAGCAATGGAGGACATCTCGGTCACATGGGATTTGCCAAAGGGAGTGTCTGTCACTGTTCTCTCTCCACCAATCACAGCAATTTTCCAGGGTCAGAGGACACTGATTTATGCACAGCTCACTGGACTGGTAGGAGCAGCGGCATCTCTTCACACTGTCATCCCTATTCAACATCTTAGACTGGATTTGTCAAAGTGAACAAATACCCTAACTAGTTTGTTTTTTAAATCAGGTTGTCAAATTACGCATGAAATATGTAACTTTGGTCACTAGGGTTCTCTTATTTTTAAAAATAACAAATAACCCTGGGGTGCGTTAAGAAAGTCCAAATAATCTTCTATTCTAACCACTATTCCTTGACCCTGATGGAACATGTCACGAGTTCAAGGAAAGATGTGAAGGACAATCCGCAAGGAGTTAGGAAAGGAGAACCATGGTGCAGAGAAAAACTAACTCTACTTCCACTCTGTGTTTTTATGTGTAACAACTTTATTTAACACAAATGTACAGTACAGATATACATGAAGCAAACCTTATATAAGTGGAGAAAAATCTTTTTTGTCTGCTTTTCATAATTACGCAAAATATTGAACATAGGTAGTTTAGGGTAGTTTTAACAAAGTTTACCAAACATGGTTTCTACCACTGTGATGTTTTCTCAGAGTTCAGAAGTAGCAGAGGGCTGTGTGACGATGCAGTATAGCCTTGAAGGTCATCCCTCTCAGAACCAGCTCCACTTCACTCTCAAACCTGCAGAGGACACTGGGTAAGAAGAAGTGCTAACATTTGGAAATATTATGCTTATGGTTGAATTCAAAGATAAGGTAAGGTAAGGTGAATTCACCCAAAATGTCCAGCGAATGAAGAGCGATAATAGCAAATAGTAAGTGAGCTGGTTTTAGACTCATCTGGCAGTGTTGAAAGAAGGTTACTGATGCTGTTGTGATAGTGACAAACTTGCATGTTGAAATCTGAGCTGATATATAAATCTTTGCTGCACTTAACTATAATAGGAGAGGTTAGATAAACCTAGTTTGCATTCTTTAAAATGTAAGATAAGGTTCCCCCATGTTCACTCCTCTCTCCCATCTGCAGATTAACCATCCACAGGCTGGGTGCTCGGACTCTGATTTGCTCCCTGGAGATGGAGGAGAGATATGGGGAGGGAAATGAGAAGGTGGTGGAGCTCAGTGTCCATTCGGGAGTGAGCAGTTCATACACGGCCTTCATTGTTGTCAACAAAGGCAACGGCGAGCCGATTAGAGGACCTCTGTTGTGCAGGCATATCCCAACACTTGGTGAAAGACTCACAGAATGAATTTGTCACTTTAAATGTCTTTATTCTTGTTTACACATGTTTATGTTTTGTTGAACCCTGAAGACTAAATACATCTTCATGGTGTAGTAAATTAGTTTATAACAATTCATTTACTATATCAGTATTTTACTGAAGTGATGGCCGAGCACTTACGTTTTCTATTGTGCAATGTTGTGTTTTTTAACTTCCAACTTCCACTGGTTTAATGTATTCTGCTTTCCTCTAAGATATTTTTCTCAAATCTGGTTTGATGAGTTTCTATGAGGAGGATCCATGGAGCAGCATCATAGGTAGTATATACTAAAAGTTAAATTTTGAATCCAACACAGCTTGTATATTTCCGATCATAACAAAAATATTATAACTCAACACAACAGTTCTTTTCTCTGGTAAGAAGAAATGATCCCAACATCTCAAGAATACCTGGAGAAAATAATTTTTAGATTTGGATGGTCAAAGGTCAAGGCCGCAATGACCTCATATGAGTATGAAAAGAAATTCAGGCACACAACAGCCAGCCATTGTAGTATATTAGTTAAGCATGAAAGGTGTGCATGATTTATTTAGGTTGGGGTGCTTCCTAAACATGACAATTAATAACAGTTAATGAAAAATAAACCCTTTTTGGCTTGTTGACACTGAGTAAAACCAAAAAAAAGGTATTTCAAGAGAAATAATGAAATGACATTGTGTTAATTTGTCAGAATAGTTTTTCTTAAACTACTGGAGTCTAATTCTTCTGTTTTGAAATTGTAAAGATTTTAACTTTTCAAACTTTTTTCCCATAATTTTCAGGAAAGTCTGTGAAGAAGAAAGTCAAATCAGGTAACAAATACAGTCAAAAAACAGAAATCTGCTGCTCTTCTCAGCTGCTATGGTTCTTTGAGGTAGTTGTCACAAAAATACAAGCAGCAAGAAGGACTCTGCTGGGAGAACTAATCCCACCATAATATGCACATTCATGAACATTGAATCTTTAAAATGATAATACCAGGAGCTTTGTATATATTCACACACTCTTACTTTCACTCAAATATGCAGTGTGATGCTCTTAGTCAGAGCAAAGCCAACAGGCTGAGGTGGATAAATTGAGTTCATACACGTAAGAAGGCTTTACTTACATTTCTAATGCTGTAATACAGCACTTATCTCAACAAGGTTAAAAAGTGCCTTGCAAAATACATGGTAGAAAAATCTATTAAAATAATGCTGCTAAAGCTAAATCTGACTGGCTACTGACTTAATTACAGGTTCAATATCTGTTTGTATTTACCTAACAGCTCAGGTACAGCTATGGAATTATAGTTTTGTTAGTTATGATTCTTCAGTTTTAAGATTTGCTTTTATTGCAAAGAGCATCACAGTGTTCTTGGTGTAGATGAACAACCATTCAAACTCACATTCACACCTACTGCCATAGTGTTCATATGGGTCTGTGTATGTGATGGGGGGTCACACTTGTGCTCATGTGACTAGCATGTGAAGTGTGTTCTGAACTGTGTGCGAGCCAAAGGGTTGGGTCTTCATGCTCACTTGAACTGTGTGCGTGTATTTCTAAAATGTAGAATAACACACTCCTGAGGTTTTGCTTGAAATTTCTTCTCTGTCATCAGTTTTCAGCAGAATTGGCAAATACTTCAAGAGTGTCTCACCTCAGAGCGACAGGAAGCAAACAAGTGGTATGTTCTTCTCATGCTACTAAAGTATATCTGTCAAAGCTCCTACGGACATACAGGACCTTAAATCTCACAGCATGTCTTTGTGTCTGTCTGGACTCCATGTGTTGTGTGCATCTCACTTCAAGGCTGCAAGTTTTACACTTCTGATATGACTGCACAATACAGTCCCTACAATTCCTCTAAACCCACATCTGTGAGTTCTTTACAGATGTGGGTTTAGAGGAATTGGTTTTCTGTTCACATTTCCCCCTTTTGATTCTCTCAGCAGAAACCTTTGCATGCAGTGATGCTGTCATTGAGCCAGAGCAGCCACCACCCAGAGACCCTTTGCTGCAGCTGGTCTCCCTGCAGAAGGCCTCTGGCTGCTGGCTGCTTGATCCCGCTCTGGCTGCTGCTGTGGGAAAGACCAGCGACGAGGTGGAGAACACAAAGCCTCCATCGGTGGGTTGCCGTCGCATTTGAAGGTGCAACAAGTGATTCAGACATATTTATTGCTACCAGAGATCAGTAAGGGCTCAGCACACGAACAGAGGAAATATACAACAGCAGCTTATGACATCTTGGTTGGAACAAGGTGAAAAAAGAGAATAAAATAGAACTATTTAATTACAGTTAGACATAAAACTCACTAATACAAAAAATACTGCAGTGGACAAAATTTCGTGCAGGCAGTGCATACGCTAGTTATGAGCTGGGTGTATGATCATGTTTGCAGTTGTGTGAAATGTGATATAATATCATAGAATAAACAGCAATATAGCTCAAAAAGCTTTCATGTATATATATAATGAATATGTACATACATTTTGAGCAAAGTACAGTTCAATAGAAAACTCTTCTATCTTCTACTACTACTGCTACTACTTCAAATAATAATAATACATGTATGATAACACAATAGAAGAGTTATACAACAATAATTGTTATGGTTTGTACACTGTACTGTATAATACCATGCAATAGCTATTCTATGTATTGTGTGTATATTTAAGTCCTTAGCAGAGGGAGTGGTGGTATGGTCATAACGACACTCATGCTCCTTAACGTTTGAATGTTTCTCACTTTGGTTCATTAGGTGAACCAGGAAGTGTGGGCCACCATTCTGGCTCTGATCTGGCTTCATGGTTTCAAGATGGATGCCAAGCAAGAGTGGGAGCTTCTGGCTATGAAGGCTGTGTCCTGGCTCCGTGCTCAGAGTGGTAGTTATTGCTTTGTGTTCATAACAGTGTGCAAAGATCAGAATCAACTCTTGGTCTATACTCAGTTTTCTTCTTCTGTGCTTTTGTGTCAGCAGCATGTGAAGCAGAGTGTGTGGAAGCTGGAAACACACTGTTGGGTTGTGAGGTGCAGAGAAACGTCCTGGGGCTCTGAAGTTACAATTGAACTGACTATGCCTTATTATTCTTTGTTGAATTTGCACAGCATATGAAATCATTCTTGCTTTTTCAGCCATTTAATGTTTTAATTGGAAACTGTTTTCACTTAAACCAATTAAACTTGGATCTTTGGACAAAGTGAAAATAAATAGCTCAGTCGTGCAGAACTTCAAAAAAACATGTTGCACCTTTTTCAAGCACTGTACCCATATCATATAAATGGGTGAGTACCAAATTGTTGTTTTTCTTGTTGTTCTAATCCAAATTGAATGACTCTCTGAAAACACTTCCAGTTTACAGTGCACAACATTTACCGGCCTCCACATTTCAAAATCCACATGGGTCTAAACTTTACTGTCTGTCATGTGTACTCTGTTTTAATTACAGCTGTTTTATTTGGATCTTAACTTTTGTTCGCTCGATGTGAAACAAACACTATCATCTGCATATTCGGTTTATCTGCTGCCTGCTGATCATTGCTTCTGTGTGTGAGAAAATAAGGAGGATGGTGCCTACACTTTGTAGTATCTGTATTTGGCCACCAGGAGACAGCAAAAGAGCTTTTCTCATCAAATTTGAAAACATATAATTTAATAAATAAGGACATTTTTTGGTACCATTAAGAATAAATCATTGTAATAATTATCTTCAACAATGTGAAAATGTACCTTTAAATATCCATTCTCTGTCTTTCAGCTTATTCACTAATGTTTTGTTAGTAAATATTTTGACGGTTCAGTATTTGGATAAGTGTTGCTTCTGTAAGTTTATTGATATTTAAGTATTGTCATTCTACTTTCTTTTCAAAAGTGGAGCTGGGCTGATCTTCATCCCCAGCAACTGACAGTAATTAACTGGTCAGATGCATTTTTTCACACACACATACATATTGTGTGAGACAATATCATCAGATGTCCTCCTTCTGTTTTCTACCTAATCAAATAATAAGAATGTTTTTCTTTTATGTCATATATAAAGAGGCGCTGAGACTGTTCAAACTCATTAAATAGTATTTTCTCTTTGTCTTTTGTCGTCTTTGTATTTGTTTTGAATTCCGGCAGGATGGATTATGTTGTTGGGTTGCTCATGTGTCTCAAAAGCACATGGTGGCAATTTTGTCCTCATGTTTTTTGAGGTCACACCTTGACTTTGAATTCAACCACCAATCAGTGTGTCCTCATGTCGGAGTGGACGGTTGCACTGTAAAACTGACTCTGCTGTTATATAATGTGAGAATGGAACAGACATGAGGTCACCATAACCCTGACCTTTGACCTTTTAATCAATGAAATTATATCAGTTCATGTTTAAATTTAAATATATTCATTCCTGATAATGTGATGGACAGAAGGTTTAATGTTGTGAGTGACAGACATTTACACTACATTCATACTGTGGTTTTAATACATTTTTGTTTTAGGGGCAGGAAATGAATGCTCCCCTTGCCTCACGTCAATCATCGTGCCTTTCAGCTTGCTGTGGCAGATATTGGCAGTGTGGTGGGATGCACCGAAGGAACTGCCTGTCAGCTCTCTGTCACTCCTCTGTAGTCAAAGGTCGTCTATCTGTGCTCCTCTCAGTGCGAGTCAGGAGCAGGTTCTGTTGAAAACATATTCTTCACAATATATTTGATTTCCTCTCTCTCCATCCCCCTTTAGTTTGGCCTCACACTTGTTTTTTGTTGCCATAACAATTGTTGTTGCTGTCTCCATGACCTAGACATAAACCTGATGAGATATTAATGCCAGAAAATAACTGACCTTGTCGAGGACCCATCAAGATTCAGAGCCCGTGGACACATTCAATACCTCTCGCCTACTGTGACTGTTTTCACTGAGGAGATGTGATATGTTGTCTTTGTGAAAACTGCCTTTTATCTTTCTTCAGGTATTTGTGGAGGCAGTGGTGGGGGAACGACAGAATATTTGTACACAGCAAGTGAAATAAATATTAATACAATGAGAAAATACATTAACTTACAGTACAGAGTACACACTACATCAGCATTGACAAATACTGTATAGCTACGGATACGACTGTATGTTCTAAACCACAGTCTCCACTGCGCAAGATCTGTTCCCAAATGAGCGAAAGAGGGGGGAGTCTGAATCCATGATGATTTAGCCTCATTTATCTGAGAAAGTGTAGATGTGTCGTCCGTGTCGTCCATCTTTGTAGTCCATGAGTCCACCCTTCATTTGAACAAAATATTCTAACTATTCTGGCAGCTTCGCACAAACTGCCAGAGAACTTAGAGAATTTAAATTTACAATCAGATGAGAATACACTTTAAATTGAACCACAGACAGAAATACAGTTATTCTGGCTGATGGTTTATTCATATGGATTAGCTGTTAGTTACTATTTTATGTCCAGACAGAAACATGAAACATGGCGGTACTGATTTGAGTTAACATAACATCGCATGGCGTATTTTTGTGTATATGTCACACAGCTAACGACATATCGCTGCGAAAGGAAAAGGGTCGACAGGAGTTTTTTTTCTCTTCAGGAATGGTTGAGTTATATTTAAATTCAAACAAAAAAGACCTGTAAACCCTGGCTTGCATTAAGCAAAAGACGGCTGCCATCAGCTCACTCCTTGACTAATACATCCTGACATGACACGCTGCTTGTTACTGAAGCTCACAGAGACAGATTTAGACCTGCGGGGGTCTTGTTACTATGGCAGACAGCATGCAACAGTGATACTCGCTGTCACCAGTAAATCCTCCAATTTACATCATATGAATCCTGCTTTTGAATTCTTATGTTAAAGCGTTGCACTCTGGATCCAAAACAAAGTTAAGTGCAGCTGCATTAGAAGTTCAGTAAAGACAACGCTTTAACCTCTCTCATGTCAGTGATTCTCCACATGCTTGGACAGGGCAGTGTTGTTATGGTGGGCCATTACAGACGGTCTTAACTGAACTTTTGGCAAACCTCCAACCAACACTTTCTAACTGGTTTCCAAGGCAACCCCAACCAGCAGGACCAATTAGAACCGATAGAGGATCCCGAGCACTAAACTGCCTGGAGATTAGAGTAAAAGAAGAAACAGACTTAAAACATACGTGTTTGTATACGCAGGCGTGTGTGTGTCACTGTACATGTGTGTCTGTGCTGGACAAAGAGATAGCGGCTTTGCATGAGCATGCACCTGTGGGCTCAGTTGTGTCTCCTTTGGTCTATCCATTATGGGGGAGAGGATTTAATTAAAGCATCTATCTCTCCGTCCTTCTCTCTGTTTGGAGCCGCTGTGTGTCCATGTGTGTTATTAGAGCCACAGGCTGCCACCAGATCAATAAGAAATAGTTTAGAGTGGCTGATGTTTGTTTTTTTCTGTTAAGGCCATTAGTGGAACACTGTGGCCTCTGAGCCACACATCAATCACAAGTGTGTGTGTGTGTGTGTGTGTGTGTGTGTGTNTGTGTGTGTGTGTGTGTGTGTGTGTGAGAGAGAGAGAGATTGATCTGATAGCCTTTGTACTTCAATGGGGGATCTACTGTGCTGAAAAAGTGACACCTGTGATCCCATGGTGCTTGTTGGCTTTTGTGTGCATGTGTGTGTCACTGAATTGAAATATGTGTCAAGTATGACCTTTACTGTAAACTTTAACACGCCACTGTGAGGGGAGCACAGGGTTTCACTCACTGCTCTCAAAAACGAGAGCACAGCAGCAGCACACACAGTGAAGACCGAAATCTAACTCTGTATTGTCAGTTTTAAAATAGAAAAACAAACTATGCCATAGAAATGTTTTCATTTGAGCGCACACAGCATTCAGCATTTGCAGTGACGAGAAAACAGAGATAAGAACCAGCCTGCAGCACTCTGGCTTTATGTTGCTGCTGAGGCTGCAAGCTCAGGCTCAGAAATCCCTTAGCTCCAGAAGCTGTCGATTCAGTTGTAATAATAATAATAATAATAATAATAACTTCTATAAATAAAGTTGGTTTAAAAAAACCTCTTAATACAAGTGGAGCTGGAGTTTCTCATGGCCTCATGTCAACATGCACTGCACACACGTCTTTTTCTCCTGATTGTTGACAGAGTGAAACACAAGACGTCTGCTCCTTACATGTGTTCTTCTTGGACTATAACATCTGCAGCCAGGTGAGTTCAATGTTCAGTACCACTGTGCATCTCCCTTTGTCGTTAGAACCGTAGAAGCCATTTGGATGCGGAAGTGAAACATCCCGTTCAGTTGCCAGTGTACATTTGTCCAACTTCAGAAAATGTCTTGATATATATTGAACTTTGTTTATATAGCTGTAGGTTAAAATGTAATGTGATAATGATTGATATTGTTTTATTGCCCAGGGCCTAGAATGAATCATGAAAAGAGCTAGCAATAGCATAGCGCCTATTTGTTGGGAGTTGTAGTTTGTTGCCCACAATAGAAAAGAAAAACTTTGGACCACTGAGATGTATTTCTGTGTCCTTGTGGTCAAAATAATAATATTAATAAAAGACATCAGTGTTGCAGTTAGTCAGTGATTTATTCCACATAATTCAATTAGGCACTATCAATATCTAGTTATGATAAAGAAAACAAAACCTGACTAATTATTTGCCAAATTAGCTTGATTAGGACATAATAATAGATTTTTACTTGTGTGGAATACATGGATTTTTTGTGGTTTTAATAATAAATTCATTTGAACAAAGTACCCCTGTTGGATAAGAAAGCTGAACACATTTTGTTGAACCTCAACTGTGTGCAAGATAGATAGCAGCGCTGAGACAATTAGCTAAGATCCAATATAAAAACAAATCTTAATGAAAAAAATATTAAAAATGTGAAATGAAAATGTAGTACAGTAGCAATGTGAATGTCTTTTGAACAGGGAGCACAGTGGTGACGTGTTAATGTTTACTGTGCTGGGAAACATGATTCATTTATTCCAGTTCGGTGACCACAGGCCTGGTGCAGTTCGATAATCATAAATCTAATGGCAGTCAGAGGGACATGAGGGCGGCGTGCAGAATGCTCGTCTTTATTCTATAAATCAAATGAACCTAAAACAGCTTCAACTGAAGTCAGTACAGTTTTATTTTCACTGCACAGTTTTTTTTTATTTCCTCTGCTTTGGTTGCATCTCTCCAATTCAGCAGCACAGGTTGCTCCCTGGATGTCAAGGTCTGAATTTAGAAGTTCAGATTTGGTTTGTGGATTTGTTTATAGGAATTCAAGTTGGGCTATTGTGTGTGTGTGTGTGTGTGT